TACCTCCTGCTCTGGTAGCATAGTGGCTAAGACACTTGCCTGCTAACCAGACGGCTGGTGGTTCAAACCTACCAGCCACTCCTCAGAAGGAAGGTTGGGTAATCCTACTTCCATAGTGATACTGCCTCGGAAACCCAAGGAGGGGTCACTATGAGTCGGGTTTGACTCGACGGCACATAACAACAACCATGATGTAAGTTACCAGCTAGGGTCAGTTTTAGTTTTGCAATTTGGGCTTTCATTTAATCCTTTGGGTCCTTCAGCCTTCTGTTTGTCTCATGCACAAGAGACCGCTTACTGGAAACAGTGAAGCACAGAGCAGCACAGAGCCATGCAGAGTGAGGCCCACTCAGCTGCCTCTGCTCCCGGCCACAGAGCATCTTCCTCCTCCTTGAGGCTGTGTGCTGCCATGAGTCCCTGCATGGGCTGCAGGTGGGGCTGCCTTGACTGGGAGACACTTGTTCTCCCTCAAGCCTCTGCCAGCAGGGGACACCATGGGTTGGGTGACAATGTGCATGTGTGTGGGGTTGCATTACGGGTGGGGCAGCATGGGCTGGCCCCCACACGACAGACTCAGGTTGGGAGTGGAATCCTTGTTAAAACCCAAACATTGGACTGGGCCTCGGTGCCTCCCAGGGCAGAGACGAAAGCAGGGGGCTTAGCAGCTCCACAAGCCATCGCAAACCGCAAACCTTTGTACATCTTGGGAAAGTCAAGGTCTGTGTGAACAATTCAAACATCAACAAAGGAACAGATTCCACAGACTGGATTCACCAGTCGGTCAAACATCAACGCTGGCTGGGGGCGCAGGGAGGGTCAGAGTTGAAGAAGAGACACGAGCAGTAGAAAAAGTCATTTTAATTTTTATTAAATATACTCTCTTGACACAAATCTTTAAAATATATAAACATTATGTATAAACAAAGTGTCTTTATGGCATCAAAAGTATAACTCCAGGCTAGGATGAGCAGCAGGAGGGTGGGGAGTTTGGCCACAGGGAAGGCGAGTTCCACCAGGACACCCCAGACACACCAGGACCAGCGGGACTAGAGGACTGCCCCTCCTTTCTCCTGCCTTGCTGGGGTGCCTGTGGCTAGAGGAAGGGGGCACCCATACCCTGGGGCCCTCTGGCCTTTGGCGTACCCCATCTGCTGACCCTGGTTTCCACACTTGCCAGGGAGCCTTGGGTCCCTGCCTCCAGGGTGCTGGGCAAGGTGGGGAGGGGGTGAGATGAGACACCCACCAGGGTGGCCCCTCCCCCCAGCCATCCCAGGCCACCCAGGCCCCTGGGGACTTGTCTGGGGCTCTTCGAGGGACCCATCAAGGGAATGGCTGGCAAACGCATGCAAAGACAAGAGGGATCTCCACACTCACAGGTCTCAGAACAGAACTGAGGACAGGTGACAGGAAACAGGAAAATCACACCTGGCACTGCCCACGTTTGGAAAATACACCACCTCAGATCCGCTCACACCACAGGCTGCTGTTTGGACATAAAATCAGCTCTCACTCTCATGTTCACACCTGTCTGTGACTAGGTGGAGGCAGGGAGGCTAGCCCCTCAAATAGACCTTTGGTCACCAAGTTGAAAAACAGAATCAAATCAGAACCCCAAACATCAGGTGTTGCTCAGGGGTACCTGGACTCCACCAGTCCCCACCCCAGGTTACAACCCTTCCTTGGGGTCCCCAGCAGCAGATGTTCCAGGTGCCAGTGGACAGAGGGTTAGGCCTGGGCTCAGCTTCTGGCAGATGTCAACTGGAGCTCAGACCTAAAGAGCCTAGTGTTTGCTGTTACCGGTCCTTGTGGGGATTTCACAAACAGGGTGAGTGGGCAGCAGAGGAGCAAGGGGCACCCACACATCTCTCAGGAGTTCCTTTCATGGGGGGGGGGGCTCTAGCCACCATCACTGTGGAACCTGGGGTCCAGTAGGGTAGCCTACAGGGACACGAACCCTGGGAGCCAAGGAGTCATAGTGGCATGGAAACTGTGGCGCTGAGGACCAGAAGGGGGCGCAGCTGGGCGGGGCGAGGTGCTGCGTTTCTGGGCGCCACTGATAGCAGCAGCTAAAGCTGCGAGCGGAGACCGCGTGTGGGTCCCATCCTAGATGGTGCTGTTTTTAGGAAAAGGCCTCATTTCTCGATGGTGCTGTTTTTAGGAAAAGGCCTCATTTCTCGAAGCTAGGTCTCTCCCTGAACTCATCTCTGCCACGTCCCCTCGGTCAGAACAAAAGGGGAGGGCAGGGCAGGGAGGGGTTACAGGTCGTGAAAACCAGTAGCGCCTCTGCCGAGAGCCCACTTGAATCACACTCTCAGGAACGGCACCCTCCCCGCCTCCCATTGCACTTCAGGGTTGGTGGGCGGACGTCAGAAGCGCCGCGCCCACCCGGCCGCCATCTCTCAGACAGCTCTCCGCCGCCTCTGGATACAAGGAGTTTCCTCTCCCTCGCCCCGAGGCGCCCCTCTAGCCCTGCAGGCGCTTCAGCAGGATCTGCATGAGGTCGAAGGTGGTGAAGCTGATGCCCACGGCAATGGGGCCCTTAAGCCAGTTCATACTCAGGCCTTTGTAGAGGCCGCGCACAGCGCCCTCCTCGCGCACGATGGTGACCATCGTGCGCACTATGGAGGTACGTGGGTAGCCTGTAACGCCCGCCGTCTGCATGCGTCGCCGCACCACGTCCAGCGGGTATGAGGCTGACTGCCCGATGATGCCGGCGCAGGCCCCGAAGATCATGCGCTCGAAGGGGTAGGGCTGCCGGTGGCCGCTGTACTCTGCGGGGGACAAGTAGGGTGAGCGCGGGGGGGTGGCGGCGCAGGGTTTCAACATACAGAACGCACACGCGAACCCTGCTCTTGCGCGCTCCCCACAAGTACACCTCATGCCCACCCCGTCAAGTGTAACAGGCGCTGTGTCAGGACCAGACCCATGCCTCCGCCTCCTCCTCTCCTCCACCAGGGCCCACGGGTCTCCACATCCTCTCCTAGTTATTCATTTGTAAAGAAATTTGAGAAATAAACACACCAGGAAAGCACAAAGAATCCTATAACGAAGTCCTAAGACCCAGAACGAGCCGCTGTTCATACCTAGTGGGGTCTGATACCCGGGCCCACGACTCTCCCAGGGTGTCTTGGTAAACATTTCTGCATACCTCCTTATGAACAACACAGGGGGGGCCTTGCAGGGGGTTTTAAGGAAAGAGGCCCCTGTGAGCAAGGTGGAGAAGAAGCTAGCACCAGCCCATTAAAAGGGATTCTTTATAACAGTTCAGCAGTAAAGAGTCAAGGCTAATGTGACCTATAAGCTTTAGCTGGTAGTAATGTGACTGGTATTTGTTCATCAGCTATAACCAATGTACCACAGGAATGCAAGGTGTCAGGACTGGGAGAATCTGCAGGGGGAGAGGGCAGACAGGAACTCTGGACTTTCTGAGCAATTTGTCAGTAAACTGGAAAAGTGCTTTAAAAACTAAAGCCTATTTTAAAAATGCCATTATAAATTTAGGACTAAGAATTAAAAACAATGAGAGAATGTCATTAGCTCACCAGATTGGCAAAAAACGTTAAGGGATCGGACAACACCCTTGTGGCCAAGAACATGGAGAAAGGGCGTGTCCAAGTTGCCAGAGTGACTGATTACTGGGTGAGGGAAATGAGACCCATGACCACCTGAGAAGATGAGCTCTCGGGTTGCCCGTTACAGAGAAAACGAAACAGCCTGCTGTGGACTGAACTGTGTCCTCCAAAAAGATACGGCAGAGCCTGGGTGATCCAAAGGGCGAGCGTGCATGGCTGCCAACCAAGAGGTCTGAGGTTCAAGTCCACCCCGGAGGGCCTGGGAGAAAGGCATGGAGATCAACTTCCAAAAAACCAGCCACTGAAAACCCTATGGAGCAGTTCTACCCTGACAGTCAGTCACCTCGCTGACAACTGATTGATCAAGCAACAGAAATGAGTACTGAAAAGATATGTTGGGGGGGTGGTATGTCCTACCTCTGTATTTGTGAAAGGGACCTTTGTTTGAAAATAGGGCTTGCTTTTCCTTTGTTATCAATTAGACTAAATGAGGTTATACTAAAGAAGGGTGGTCCTAATCCTAATCTCTTTGGGGTGGCATTTTATGAAGGGGAAAAAGAGAGAGACAGAAACACACGTGGGGGAGATGCCACGTGAGGCTACATCTGCAGTCTGAGGGACACTTGGAACCCCCAGGAAGGGTCACCCCTAAAGCCAGCAGACAAGGCGTCGTCCTGCCGATACCCTTCTCGCCTCCAGACTGAGAGAACAGGATTCTATTCTTTAAAGCCACCCACCTTGTGGTTTGTTACAGCAGCCGGCGGGGGACTGAGACCGAGCCTAAAAGCCAGCCCCAGAGGGAAATGCCCAGCACACGGCATTCAGACACCAGCCTCAGGGGCAAGCTGCACCAACAGGGCCTGCATGACATGACCCTGTATGCGTCACTTCCTGTGACCATGAAACATTACACGGACTGTTAGTAGCACATGTATGTGCACATAGATATATTTTTTAAACTGGCTGGAGGGATACATTCCCGGGGAGGGGACAGCCAGGATTTACCTGCACCATTTTATTTCTTTAACAAAAAGCACCCTGGGCAAATGGGTCAACGTGGTAGTAACGTCCACACTTGTGGCAGGTATGAGTGTTCCTGTTGTCTTTTCTGTATTTCTAGATTTTCTCAAAATTATCAAACAAGGGCATTTCCCTGGTATCTTCGTTTTACCCACATGGTGTGTGTGAGACAACATGAGTGTGTAAACACAAGTCGAGTGTGGGCAGTGCACATGAGTGTATGCATGTGGGTATGAGGTACAGCCAGATACAGGACAACACACTGGATGCCAGGGGGTGGCTGTAAAGGCCTTGAATGCCCAGGTGCCTTCAGTGGATATGTGACCCCATGGGCTTCAGGGCCCAGGATCCTGCAGCCCAGGACTCAGTCCATACCCCTCACCTCTGTGCAGGCTCTTGAGTGTCTCATAGGTGAAGAAGCTCAGCCCTGCATATGGAATGACACCCAGCAGGGTTGGCGTGAAGCCGTGGTACAGGGTCTGCAGCCCCTCCTCGCGGGAGATACGGATGAAGACGTGGAAGATGTTGCTGTACCTGCAGGACAGGGTGAATGGGCAGGCCGTGGGTGTGCGGCTCACTGGGATTCACCACCACCTGCTCCTTCAGGCACTGGGCCTGTGTCTGCAGTGTGGACATGTCCACATTTCGGCCACAAAACCGCACGCACAGCTTTGGAATCAGAGGAACACGCTAGTGGAAAGCTCCTACTCCCTCGTCAGCACTGGGATCACCCGTGGGCCGGATCCTTCTCATTCATATGTTCTTAACATATCTGTGCCCAACTCCAAAGGAAGCCTGCAGACACACAGCCTGTCTGCGAATGTAATCACAGGCTTTCTGGAACAGCTGCATAGCCACGGCCCAAGCTAGGTGAGGACCCTCACAGAGCTGCTTCTGTGCCAGACACAGAGGCCCAGATCCACCCCAGGGTCCAGGGAGGGGGTTCCTATCCTTAGGGGACATGGGTCCTCAGGACTCACATCTCTTTTGGGGTCACGGCCATCCGTGCACGGACCAGGTCCAGCGGGTAGGTCAGTGAGGCGGCCGTCGTTCCAGCCAGTGCACCTGCAAGGAGCCGGGGCCAGGGGGGCAGAGCCCTGCAGTGAGGGAACAGTGAAAGTGAGACCCCAAGAGATACAGATAGAGACAGAGAGGCAGAAAGATGGAGAGAGATAAAGAGAGACAGAGCAAGAGACAGAGAAGGAGAGAGATGGGCAGAGAGAGACAGGAGACAGACAGACACACACACACAGACAGAGGCCCAGCCTGGGGTATTGACACATCTCAGTGCAGGGGGTCCCTCGTCCCCCCTCTCCCATCTCTAGGGCTCTGCAGGGTTGGGGAATGGGGAGGAAGGGCCAGGAAAGGGACTGTGGAGAGGGCCAGGGAGGGGCTGGGGGCCTCACTCTCCATAGAAGCCATAGTAGTGCCCCAGCACCCGCTTGTACTCCTCGTGGGCGCTGAACTGGATGGCAGCGTAGGGCACCACGCGCACCATGGTGGCCGAGTTCCCACGCCACAAGCTAAAGAAGCCCTCATTGAGGTAGGTGAAGTAGAGCAGCCGGAAGGCCTCCTGGGGGTAGGAGTCAGAGGTCACTGTCCTGCCCTGAACCCAGGCTCCTGCCTTATCCATGCATCAGGCCCTGTGCCCCCACCCCGCTCTTCTGAGCAATGCCCACCCATCCCCCATGTACAGGAATTCTAACATGAGCAGGGAACCAGGATTGTGATAGGACTCCAGAGCCCCACAGGGACTTTTGTTTGTCTAGCGTTAAAAAGTCTTTATCGTTTCCTTTATTAAGAAGGTAATGACTGGCACTGTTGAAACATCACAAAGATGTGGGGTTTAAAAAGCCAAGCCCCTAGCTCTTCTCCCAGAGGCACATGGGACCCAGTGCATTCCTGGTGGGGGCTGGGGGGCATGTCCAGACAGAGCTGGAACAGAGCGAGGACCCCCACCCCCAAGCAGCCAAAAGCCTTGCACCCCCACCCGAGTAGCCTGGGGCCTGGCTGAGGAGGGAGTGGGGGGACACTGGGAGAAGCTATTTATCCTGCTTTGGACAACCCACCCCCACCTCGTCCAGCAGGATAGCTGGTGTGAGGGGCCTGGGTTAGGGACCTAGCACCTCACCTTGGCAGAGAATCTCTTTGAAGACACTGGAAGAAAACACATAGAACTCATCACGATACAGGAGACACGTCTGCATGACCCCCCCCCACTTGCACAGCTTGCCCCCAAGTCTGTGTGTCCCCCTTAGCATCTGTGCTGTTCCTAGAAGTGGCCACCCAGAGTCCCCCCAGTGGGGCCGGGGCACTGACTGCGGTTGGGGTGGGCACTGCCTTCATTAGGGGCATCCCTGCAGTGGCTCCCTCTTCCACCCAGGAACCACCCAATCCTTGCACACCCAGACTTGTCCCCAAAAGGCAAGTGGCCCTAGCCCAACCTCCCCAGGACAGCGAGGGTCTTGGCAGGGGTGTGGCTCCCAAGGGTGGCAGCGGCATCCCCTTCCCCTCCCTCTGGAACCATGGAGCGTCCGTGCTGGGCTTGTACAAGTACTCATGGAAAAGATCTGGAAACTCAGGCGGCCATGTGGTCAGGGGTCCACCCAGATCTGCAGGACTAAGGGCTCCTGGCCTGCAGTGCTCCTGTGCATACATGTATGTGTGCACCTACATGTAAGTGTGTGTGGGAGTACATGGTGTGCATACTTGTGTGTGCATACATCTGACCCTCACACCAGCCCCACGGGAGAGTTGAGATTAATACCCCATATTAGAGGAAACCAAGGCATAGTGAGGCTCAGAGACCAGCTCCAGGGGGAAGAGCCTGGTTCTCTCCCACCCACTGCAGGCAGAGGGTCCTGAGTCATGACTTTCGCCCCCAGCACGGCCTGGAGAGTGTTTGAGGGGTACAGCTATGGAAGGGGAAGGCCTCGTCTTCAGAGGCCCCTGCAAGGAGACTGGAGGGCTGGGGAGGAGGAGCCCAGCATTATCTTCATCATTCTGCACAGAAAGAAAGATTGATGGACAGGTGGACGACTTGTACCCTGAAAGATGATTTTGGTTCGGTCCAGGGGGGCTACTGCTGTCTTGGCAAGTGCACCAGCCAGGGCCCCAGACAGCAGAGAGCTGAGTACATCATGGCGGTCACCCTGAAAAGCAGCACAGAATACTGGCATTAGGCGGGCACTGTGTTCAGGAGAGGGGCTGGATGCACAGGGGTGCTGGGGTGTCTTCTTGAAGCCTGGTCCAGGCCCAGAGACCACAGGACCCACACTGGACACGTGGAACAGACAGTATGGCAGAACATCTGAGTGGGAGGGATACGCTCACTGGGCAGCTGTGGGCGCTGGTCCTTGGGATCAGACTTCAAGGCGACTGGTCTCGCCCACACACACCCACCCAGGCTCCTGGCTACACTGAGCCACTGAGGCTTCCTCAGAGCAGTGTCACCGGGCCTGTGTGTTGTGTGGGGTGAGAGGAGGCAGGTCAGCACAGTACCTTCCACATCTCAGGTCAGGAGGTCAGGGGGTGGCATCTCTGGAATGTTACCCAGTCAAGGCTAGAGGTGCTGTTGATGGTGATGATGTTGGTAATGATACCATGGTTATGGTGGTGATGACAGTGATGTGACAAGGACAGTGAAGGTGAGGATGGTGATGCTAGTGGTGACGATGGCAGTAACAGTGATGATGGTGATGACAATGGTGAAGGTGATGACAGTGATTGTGACAGTGACATGTTGGGTGACACTGAGTATGCTCTGACTCATAGTAACCCTATGCATGTACAACAGGTCAAAATATTGCTCGGTCCTGCACCAGCCTCACAACATAGTGTGACATAGTGGTGGTGATGAAAGTGGTGACATCAGTGACACTCATGGTGGCAGTGACGGTGGTGGTGACAAAGGTGACAGCAACGACTGTGAAGGCAGTGGCAGCGACGTGGCCAGCAACAGAGCCAGGGCTGTCATGCAATGCCTCGCCATCCCAGCTTGGCAGTGACACTGTTCCTGGTATCTTCTCATGGACAGAGACACTCCCCAAGGCCAGGCCCCAGGGCCTTGCTCTCCTGATTGCTCGATGTCAAGGGCTTTCACTAGACCCTTCTGCCTCTCCTCACTTGGCCCAACCCTCCAGGCTCCAGAGCTGAAATCTGTAACTGGGATCTCATTTCTTGGAATCCACGTTTCCAGGTCTCACGGTCACATGTCCAGGCATCTGAGGTCAGCAGGTCTGAGGAGTGCAGCCAGACACTGGCTCACCATGTTTGAGGGAAAGCTTAAGGGGCTCCTGCACCCACTTCAGGCCACATGGCTCCCTGCCTCAACTCCACCTTGGTGAGATGAGTGACCGCCACCTTGTGGGCCGCAGCAAGCAGAGGGGATGCTCCGTGGGCAGCACTGGCACACGACCATCATCCTTTCTGCTCCCTTGCCAGCACATAGCTGGTGCCACCCATGGCTTTTCCTTAAAAGTTGAATGTCACCCCTTCAATTACACACATACACACACACACACACACACAAATGGATGCTCTGTGGAATGGGCCCGCTGCCTGCGGGGGCTGGCTTCCAGCTCCTTTCCTCATAATTTTTAAGGGCCCAGTGTGGGCAGCATAGACAGGTGCTGCAGGGACTCCCATGAGTGGATGTGAACAGGGAGACAGCTCTACAGGAAGTGGGGGAGCCACGCGTGACATGCCTAGCGGCATAAGGCACGAGAGAAGACTCCAGCTTCTCCGTCAGAGGAACGTGGCTTCAAGCAGGGAGCTCCCCCTCAGACCAGCTGGTTGTGGTTGCTACTGCTCAGAACCTGCAGCCTTCAGAGCACCATGGCCCCCTCTGGCAGAATGCCCGTCTAGATGAGCAAGGCGGCATCTAGATGCTTCCAGTCTCATGTTCCAAGCCTCATGCCTGTTAGCCGCCGCTGAGTCAGCTCCGACTCGTGGCATCGCTGGTATGACAGAAGGACACGTCGCTGGGTCCTGTGCCATCTGACCGCTGGCGTATCTGAGCCCACTGTGGCAGCTATTGTGTCCGTCTGTCTTATGGGGGGGTCTCCAGTTTTCACTGACCCTCTTCTTTAACAAACATGATGTCTTTCTGGCAACTGGTCTTTCCTGATGACACGTCCAAAGTAAGTGAGCCAAAGCCTCGCTGCCACTGCTTTTAAGGCGCAGTCTGGTTGTATTTCCTCTTTTAAGACTGATTTGCTTGTTCTTCTGGCAGTCTGCAGCACATTCGATATTTCTGCCAACATCACAATTCTTCTGTCTTCCTCTTTTATTGTCCAGCGTCTGCACACATACAGGTGACTGACAACACCATGGCTCGGGTCAGGAGCACCTTAGTCCTCAAAGTGACATCTTAGCTTTCTAACACTTTTAAAGAGGTCGTTTACAGCAGATTTACCCAATGCATTATATGGTTTGACTTCTTGACTGCTGCTTGCTGCTTCCACGGGTATGCATGGTCAATACAAGTAGAATGAAACCTTCTGAGCATTTGGTGGCGGAGTTCATTAGACCTCCAGGGATGCACCCGCCTCAGGCTGGCTCCCCCACTGCCTTCCACACACAGCTCCAGGGACAGTGACTGCCAGGGCAGGGACTCACCTGCTTAGTGCTCTACAGAGCCACCTGAAATTAGGTCAGAGGATGACACCAGCGTGGCCTGTGGCCAAGTGGACTTTGTGACCAACCTCAGGCAACATGAGGACAGGTTCCTGTGGGGCTGGGGTGGTCTGTGGCTCAGAGGGAGCCAGGATTTCTGCTTCTAGTGTGAATGGCACTGACTAGGCGAGCTTTTTTAGGGGGAATATCTTCAATTCACATGGGGGACTCGGGTGGAGGGCAGGGCTCAGGGCAAATCAAATCCCTCCCTTGCTATCCTGGCTCCGCCAAAACCATCCCAGGCCCCCTCGCATCTGGGCCCTGATGGTTCCCTAAATCCCTTGAACCCCCTACAGTCATCCCAGCTCCCCTATGGCCATCCTGGGCCCCCCACCTGCTAACAAGACATGTTGGGTAATCCCACAGAAAGGGCACAGCCACTGTTTGGCTATATCTTTAGTCGCCACAAGGAGGAAGGGGAAAGGCCTTCACAAACCCTTCTTCCCTCCAGCTTCCAGCCAAATGTGTGTCAGTGGGGTTCACATCAGGAACCAGAGTCCCCTCATTCCACCCTGCCATCTCCCCCAGCTTCCCCATAGCCACACCAGGCCCATCACATGGGCTGTAGGTGCACGGGCTGTGGTGTTGGGTTGGTGGAGGACACAGAATGACAAGGGACCAGGACTTGCTGACAGCATGCACAGAGAGGCAGCGATTAGCTCTGAGGAGGTGCAAGGCAGAGTTGGGGACCTATGGGGCTGATGAGAGAGCGCGTACTTGCCTTTTTGGAGACGGGCGAGTGCCGGGCAGGCTCGGCATCCTCCGGCAGGTGCGCCGTGGCCGCCTTCACACCATTACCCATCCCAGGCCTGCTGGGCGGAGCCTTGGTCCTGGGGGGCAGAGGGGTGGTGAGCTGCGGCACTGCAGTTCATCCCCGGCCCCTAGACAGAGCTCTCTACCACCACTGGCCTGGCTGCTATCTCCTGCAGGGGATGGCACTCACTCCACACCCTGACCCTCGTCCCAGCTTTACAGCTTAATGATTGACTTAATGATTGACAAGAGCCCTCCTGCTATCTGAGCCTCACAAACTGGCTTCTGGGTAGTTTATTTTTTAAGCTGGTGCTGCAATGGAGCCCTTGTGCTCAGAGAGGCTGAGCTGCTTCTCTGATGTTGCACAGCAGGAGGGAAGGGCTGGGGGATATGTGCAGGGGAGGGGGGGCACCCACAATCCCTCTTCACCAGCACAGACAGGCGTGGAGTCCACCTACCCAGCCCCTCAATACCCCTGCCTCTTTTCTGAGCTGTGTTGACAAGGGCCTGAGTTCATTCACATAAATCCTTCCAGAAAACTGATTTTCACAATGGAATGGCAGCTTGTTCTTTGATACCTCAGGGTTCCTCCCAGGAAGCACACATTACCCCCACATCAGAGTGCAGGCAAAACTCAGCAAATTACAACAAGTGGCCGACTGTCTAGGCCAGAGTGTCTACAGGGCAGAGGACCGGGAACAGGCGTGATCGAGATGCCACTAGCACCAGTTCCCATAGTTCTAATCATACAATAAGTTGGTATGATTTCCTATAACCTGACACAAACAACAGAGGCCCCAGAGCAGACTGTGAGCAGCTAGTGGGCCCTCGGGATGGTCCCCAGCCCCTCCCCCACACTAATTACATGTTAAAAGAACATCAGTGAGATTATGCTGAGCATGCTGTCTGGGACCAGCTCTTAATGTGAAAATGGGCCCTGAACAGTTTAGCCAAAAGACAAAACCAAATTCATTGCTGTCCAGTCGGCTCTGACTCATAGTCACCCCTTCTTGGGTTTCCAAGGTGGTATCACTACAGAAGTAGATTGCCCAACCTTCCTTCCGAGGAGTGGCTGGTGGGTTTGAACCGCCAGCATTCTGGTTGGCAGTCAAATGGTATTACTCAGTCATAAAGAGAAATCAAGTCCTGAAGCATGCCTCGTTGGTAACTCTCAGAACCATCGTGCTGAGTGAAGGAAGTCAGACAAAGCCCAGGTCCTCACTGGATGACAAGAGCTCTATCACTGAACCACCACGGTCCCCATGCGTGCGGCCCTGCATCCACGCTAATTTTCTGGTGTACATCACAGTACCAAGATCAC